GGCTTTCTTCTCTTATAGCTCCCTAATGACTAACTTTTAGTCCATTCAACAAGGTAATTTTTGTTCTCTGTTATTTCTAGACAGCTCCAAGACTGAACTGATGGGCAGAGAGCAGAATTCACCAGCTAGTAAAACTGCTGGGTTTTTTTCCCCTCTAGTTATTACGTAGAAAATTATCAAGGCTGAAAAGTGACAGGTAGGAAAGTCTTACTGGAGTTAAACTCCTAGTGGCCGTTTACATCTTTCCTGTTCACCTGCCTTCTTTGAACAAAGGTGTCTTGGCTTATTACAAGTCTGTTCTTCTACCCCTCAGCATGGCTTTTCGTTTCCCTGGTGCCTTTGCAAGCCTTGTACGACACGTATAAACATGTTGGCAGGTCTGGTTAGTGATTGTGTAGGCAAGGATGAAAGACCTTTAACACTAGTGGAAGTCCTGGGAAGGGCATTTGTGTCTGCTTCTGAGAGGAGGATTTACATTTTCACAGTTGCATAGTCACTGGAGTAGAAGGGATGTAGGCTACGAGTGATTTCACTGCCACATAAGTCTAGGTAAAGATCCATGTAGCACACGTACAAACGTGACTCTGGTACTGCTTGAAGATAAGGGGCACGCTTGTGAAAGATAAAAGGCTATTCCTCACTCATCCTGAAGTTCCAAAGGGGCTTCCTTAACTTATCTGTGTAATAGCTGTTTGCAGTGGCTGTTTGACTTCTTACTAGCGTTAGGCACTGATTCAGAGAGTGATTTTATGTTAAGGATCCCTAGCAGTAATTACGCTGCTAATGACGTTCTCTGTGAGGAAACATGACTGTGATGAGGAACTATCAGTGACAGGTAGGTCCTGGCTGAGTCCTGTGCTTTTGTGAGATGAATCTGGGCTCAGAGATAATGGGACAACTGATCCTTAATGTCGAGCTTTTTCCTTTCAGTGGTTTCAGCATGAGAGTCCCACCCTATTGTGGATATTCTGATGCATGTACTGAAGTGTGAGGTTTCTTGTTATCTGGACATTGTATGCTTCAATAATTCTATAGGATCTGCATAGCTCTAATTTGGACAAGTCCTGAAAGGCACTTCATTTCCCCAGTCTCAGAGATCACACCTCAAAGGGCACAGCACAACGTCTTTTGGATCGGGCTTTAAAGTGTCACTTTTACAAACAGATCCCTTTCCATTGCCAGGGTCTAGGGTCACTTGTTCTGTCTTGTAACTCTCATAACGTGTCCTCTTGGTATTTGATTGTGGGCTTGTTGGGTGGTGATGGCACCAGCTGTGTAATGCAAAAAGTATTTTTTGTGTTACTGTGCTTCTGTGTCATGTGGAAAGATGAGAGATGCATATAGAGCACTTTTCCTGCCAGGTTCAAAAATGCCTTCAAATAATGATTCTTGGCATAGTACGTGTTTAGACAGTATTGCTGCAGTGAGTGCTGTAGGATTCCCATTTTTGGGTTGTTTCCATTCTGCTTTTGTGATCTCATTTATTGAAAACATATACAGTATACATACCTTTTCTCTTATACTTCCACCATCCGCCTTTAAAACTCGTTGGTAGGATAACAGGAAAATCAAACATTTTACCCTGGGTATTCTTTAGAGGGTTTGTATTTCTGCAGGTCATGGACCTGCAGACGATTTTGTAGCTGTCAACCCTACATGGATTGTTTTTAGCTTTGCAGATAACACAGGTGGGAAAAAGCTTGTTTGACAGAGGTGAGCTAAACTATAAGTACAATGATACACAGACAGCGATTTCTGTCCTCTTTCTGGATAGAAAAGAAAGCCAGGTGTGGTATTGCTTAGGAGCAGCGTTCAGGCAGGTGATTAGACATCTTTCTAGTTCATAGATAGTATGAGGTTACATTGAATAAAAGAAAATCTCACTAAGATGATATTAAATAGTAGCACAAGTTTGAAATGGAAATGAATGAGTAGAATAAACAGTGAAACATCCTAAAATGTTAGCCTACATGTTTAAAAAGTGCTTGGAAAATAATCATGTAGAGAAGGTGAAATAAGACCAAGGAGGCATGGTTAAGGGTTTGATTGTTTAACTCTTTCAATGAAGGATGTTCCTGGACATCTTACCATTGATTCCTGCCATCATTAGCTAAAGATGGGAGGCTAAAGCCTTGGTACAGGTCATCTGTTGTGATTTTAACAAGACAGAAATTCTGTTTCTTCATTTCTGCCAAAAGAAATCTCCAGTATCTTCATATCATTTCAGTGCTGATAGGTGCAAATGAATCTATTAAAAATTACTATTTTATCTGGGCCTAAAGTATTCTGATACCAACAGAATACTCTGATCAGATTCTCTGAGTTCTTACGTCCTCATCAGATTCTGCTGACAAAGATCCGTCTGCAGGTTTGGGCCTTTCTTTTCTCCCCCTCCATATTCCCAGATATTGAGATTTACAACCAAATAAGGATATTGGAAGTTATGCTAAGTATATGATGTTTTAGAAGTATTTCTGTTCATTCTAAAAATTTGAGATATTTCCAAAACTAAGTAGAAAGGAGGCTTAAGCAGCACCTTGAGACATTTTGTTCAGGGAGGAGCTCTTTTGCAGTGAAAGACACAAGACTGAAGAGAGGTGCTTAATCCCGTGGAAGCTGGAGGAAGAGATTGTGAGCTGCAGGAGAGAAGTGTTTGGGAGAAGCACAAGAGCGCCGGTCTGTTTGCACATGGCTGCAATCCTGGCTTCAGGGTCACCACTTCCAGGAACTGTGAAGAAGCAGTATAATTTTAGAAGTGTGAGGAATGACTATGCAGTATATTTAAGGGCACCCCGAAGCCATCCTTAAGATCAGATTCTCTATCTTCAAGAGCAGCAAAACAGGACGTGTGATGGTGGGCCAGAGCTGCTCTGCAGAGCGTGCCGAGCCCTGGTTGCCCGCGCACACTGATCCGCCCAACACAGTATGCACGTGGTGCTCTCTCGGTGGCTTTGTGAGGCACCTCCAGACATGCTGGTTGACACCTACCTGCAGACATCTCATCAGACTGGCCACAAGACCCCCGGGTGAAAGGGAGGGACACAGACTGGGAGGTTGCTGTAGTGCACCTACTTCCCAGAGTACTTGGTGTGAGCGACGTTGATACTGCCTTGAGGCACTTTCTGGTTACTGTTCAATGTTACGAGATGGGAAATAGGATTTATATGAATTCCCATTCTGTCCGAATTTTACAGGGCCACTTTTGGGGTGTTTTTTCCTCTGTTACACAGTGTTGTTGATACTGACTGTATTGTCACCTTCCAGTTGGATTTCTTCGGATGGTAATTCTGATGCTAAGTCATGGTGCCTCTGGTTTCATTATGTGTTTGTTGTGTGACTCAGAATTGTTTGACCTGTGAGATTTCTTTGTCCTTCTTTTACAAGTTTTAATTTGATGTCAAAAAACATTATGCTTTCAGAGACTTACAGTTCTGACGTTCAACAGCCAAAAATACTGATTTGCAATTGGCAGGAGGGTTTGTTTGCTTCAACTAGCAGTGCGTTTAAAAATAATTCCGTTTACTTTATGCCAGAGAGTCCCTGTGTCCCCTTTCAGACCACCTTCATCTTGACTGCAGCAAAGCCTACCACATTAAAAATGAAATAGTGTTTATGTTAAATGTTCTCCCACCTATTTTCAAACCTTTTAGCGGCGTTTGCACTGAAATTTTTCCCCTAAAAGCCACAGTAGTTCAGAGCTCCACTGAGTGCTTTTTGTAAAGACGTTCGCTTTCTGTCAAGAAAGGGCTACGTTCTTCCTGTGACCCTGAGTGATGGCTTGGCCGTATGCATTGTCCTCCTTGTATATATGGGGATAGTTATACATGAGCTGCTTATGCTGTGAAAGAGAATAAAATCTGGCCTATGACACTGAGTAATCTGATTATTTTAATCACTACCTGTGACTCTCTGAATTTCCATCTGTATTATGGGATAATACAATCTCTTCGGTATTCAACAATGACTTTTTAAAAATTACCATATATATTATACAGATCTAATATATTAAGACATACCTTAAGGGTAATTATCAAGTGTGTAATTTCATCTGTAGGTTCTTATAATGATGGCTAATGTCACACATGCCTTTTAATGAAATTACAGGCTTGTAACCCTGCCTGACTATCCTTTGTGTGTCATATAATTAATAAGACCAAGCTTTGGTGTTCATCTCAGTGTCACAAAGCATCATGTAAACTTCCATACTGATGGTAGATGGTTAGTCTCTCATCAGAGTAAGAATAAGGTTAAGGCCAGGCAGCTTGAATATATGTTACCTTTAAATTTCTAAAGGCAACTGGATGTGCTTGTCAACAAAAGTACTTCTAACACAGTATACATGCTTATAAAAAATAAATGGCTATTGATCTAGTGTCTGATTATAATACTACGTGCAAAATTTTAAGGGAGTGAAAAGGGAAGTGAGTTGCATCACTTGTAGTAAAGAATTGTTTTCCTTCTAATCCACTGAGGGTAGTGAAAATTTGTATATTAATTTGTATATATTAAAAGCATTTGGAGATGGATAAGAAGTTTCATCTTGAAATCAAGACACTTGCCTGGAATGTAGAAGAGCTGGGATTGTTTCCCAGTCTGGTCTAATTTCTGTGAGACTCTGGCTAAATATTTTTTATGGTCTTCAGATTTCCTGTCTGAAAAATAAGGGCTATAGTATTTCTTTTCTTTGTCTCACATTTCCACATTTTAAACTTGCTGGAGCAAAGGAGATATCTATGTGGGTTTTGATGTTTTGTGTTTTTTTTTTCCTTTGGCAATTACCATAGAATCTTACAGAATTGTTCATGTTAGAAGGAACCTAAAGTCATCTGATCCCACCTCCGACTCAGAGCAAGGGCAATGTTGAACTTCTGCCCTCTAGGCCATTTTCTTACTGTGAATCCTAATAAGGGAACCACAAATTTTATATGTCACCATGAAAAGTAGTTCTAAAAAATCATGTAAGGCTCATTAAGATTATTATACTGTTCTTTGTCCTTCAGGGAATGATGTACCTGGAAGAGAGGAGACTTGTCCACCGGGACTTGGCAGCCCGAAATGTCTTGGTGAAATCACCAAACCATGTGAAGATCACTGACTTTGGCTTGGCCAGACTTTTGGAAGGAGATGAGAAGGAGTATAATGCTGATGGAGGGAAAGTGAGTACTGAACATGTCTGGAAGTAAATACATCACACTGTGACAAACCTCCTGAAGTTACTCTTTAGGGCAGTATATCCCTACAGGACTTTTATCTATGTAAGAAAGTCTGTCAGTGACTTAGCAAAGCTCTGTCTTCTAGAAGAACCGTGTTGTGACAGCACACATAAAAACTCCTCATTTTTCACTCATTTAGCTTCTCCAGGTGCCGAAATACAATTGAACAGTTTTCACAGTCAGAATTGGGTTTTGTTCATGCGCTCCATTTTGTGTCTTGTTTTGAAGACTTCTGAAGTCGGTTCAGTGAGTGACGGGTG